AAGTGTAACGTCCAACCTCGTTCCCAGGGCCTTTTCCCTTAGTTGGGGGTGGGGCGGGAAAAGGCCCTGGCATCGGCCGGTCAGATCAACATTTTGATTGGTTGATTGATTTAAATAATTTATGTGAACCTTGGTCATAAAATATAATTTATGCATTATTCCGAAGTCATAATGGCGGAAAGTATGCCTACACCAACAAAGATTTCTTCTAGAAATCCGGTTTGCAGACTCTGCGGTGATTCTCGCGAGAGTCGTCATATGCTTCGAATATTTAGCAAAGCTGGTTCATCAAAAGATCTGTGTGCAAAAGTCCATAAAACCTGTGGTATAACTATTTTTGAGGACGATACGAGATCAAAGATCGCATGTCGGAGTTGCGTTACATTCGTAAACAAGATGGAACAGTTTATTCAGAGAGCTCAATCCATGGACAATATGTCGTCCGATCAAAGTTCTGAATATGCTGTAAAGAGATGTGTACAACTTTCACCTTCTTCGCTTCAGCCGTCGAAACGTGTATCAAAGAATTTGCCATGCGAAAGCTCATGCGTCACCTCAGCAGATGAGCTGTCGAAGCGAATCACACCAAAAAAATCTGCAAAGCAGCTTTCCTTCTCAACTCCCCAAGTTGCGACTGTTTTAACGCCTATATCATCAGGAGATAGCTTCAAAATAACTTCTATTGATCAGGCGAAGCGAACAACATCAATTTTTGCAAAACAGCCGTCTTTCTCAACTCCCCAAGATGCTAGTGTTATTGCCACGTCTACAGGACATGATTGTGCAGCCACTTCGGTGGATCAGTCGTCGAGGCTAACAACACCAAGGTCTGAAGGGCAGCCATTTTTTTTAACTCGGCAATCTGTTCTAAGGCCTAAATCAATAGGAGATAATGATTGCACCTCATTAGAAGCTCAATCGTTATTGACTGAAAGACAGCAGAAAATGATTCTACAAGCTGTCAGTAACAGGGATGCAACTGTGTTGACGGCTATCTTGAAAGATTACTGTCCAAGTGTTGTGGACGAGTTAAAAAAGACCAGCAGTGAGGAGTTGAAAACGTCGTGTGCAAAGCTGTGCAAACGTTCGCAAGGTTCCGTTTTATATGGAAATGAATTTGAGAGCATGAACAGTTTCGATTTCAATAAAATTTGGGTCGAATTGAAGACGAACCACCCTTATCTTGTCGAGATTATGAACGCAGTGTCTGGCAAAGAGAAGTCCGTCTCAGACACAAAGCGTGAGCTTCAAGTAAAGTACAGTTTTCTGTACTCGATCCTCATGAACGAGAGATGGCACGAACTCAACCTGGTGAAACGTGTGAATACAGTTCTCATCAATGAAGGTGGATGTACCAAAAAGGTAATTCTTAGCTAAAGATATATATAACATTGGATTGTTATCCTTAATCAACTGCTTTAGTCGCACTGTAGTATTTATTATTCACCAGTGCAATCATGCATTGAATACAATCTGCATTTTATCCTCTTAATTATATAAAGCTCTGCAGAAATTTGATCCTTGTGAGGTAGTTTTGTGTTAGGTTGTGATTGTGATTCTAATTGAAAGATCCATTCAGAAATATATTGTGAGTGATAGGATAAGTATAGGTAATTGCATGACTTGTAGTGGTATTTGGCAATAATACCGCGATTAATATTTCAAAATTGACCGAAATACCACGAGCCGCGAAGCGGTGAGTGGTATTTGGATAATTTTGAAATATTACGAGCCGGTATTATTGCCAAATACCACTACAAGTCATGCTATTATTTCTTTATAACAGAAGCCGAGAAATTTTCGGAAACGCACACGAGTCCTTTATTTCGTTACGGTTGAAAAAACAAACACAGGCCAAAAGGAAAAGGCAAAGTAAAAGGTTGTCATGGTAACCTTGTTATACCATCCATTTTTATTCTGTTTTACCACTATTACGCGAAAATAGGGCCATTATCAACCAATCAAAACTCCGAAATTTCTTGGCTTATATTATAAAGTTGTGAAACAGGAGGTTACTGCATGTGCATGTGTAGTTAATTTGCTGTTAATTTCTGATTCCCTTGTAATCCCTAGCTTCAAGAACGACTGAACAAACTTGGTGTGTGCCTATCATCTGGGAGAAGGGACACCCTGCTGAAGCTCTTAGGGGGTCATTTTTCAGACAAAGTGGTTCAGCAAGTAAAGAGAGGTAGTGTGTTCCGAGGCACTGGTGACAACTGGGACCTGAAAATTTTGAAAGGGCACATGAGAAAGGAAATTCAGAATGAGGATCTACACTTATTTGCCAGTAACTTGATTGAGAACCGAATTAACTTCAATCACTTGCCTAATGACAACCCTAAAGGAAACATCAAAGATTTCCCTCGATATAATTTTTCCTTGAATGTTCCTGAATGGAAACGTTATGCAGAATGTGCCACAATTATTTTTGGTAGAATTGTTCTTGAGTTTTTTCCCAAATTTAAGTTTTTGAAATCTGTTATACCAGATCACATTCCTCATGAGTACAGCCAGCAAATGTCACAGAAGTCTACCATAGTAAGTTTGCCAATCATCAATGCAAATGAAGCAAAGTATGATGATTGTGTTCACATATTAAGAACTTATGAAAAGTGGATTGCTGAAATCTATGTTCAAGCAGGGTTGCTAGATGAACTGCCACACACTGACAATCCACTGATTCCCGACGGGCCTGCAGCATCTGGACAGACAAATGCGCACCAACCAGACACCCATGATGATGCAATGAGGGAGATGAAGATTACATTTGCAGGTGATCAGCTCACTCGGGTCAGATTTGCAGGTGCCAAAGATCTGCTATCTGGTTCTCACACAGCAGCTGATCGTTTTGAACATTGCTCACCTTTTAAACCAGTAATGTGGCATACAAAAGCATCCCTTCTGCAGTATTCTTACTCGTTTCTTCACAAAGCTGAGTCTGTGAATCAAGTTGGCACCTTAAAGTACTTCAGAGAGAAGTACAATAGGAGGAATGCTACCCCATCCAAAGTTCTTGACTCCTATGAAGGAAGTGAAGAGTTGTTCCTCAGCGTGGGGAAAGCTTACATCATAACAGCTGCCCTGAACTTTTTTGGGATGTCAGACCTAGAGGACACTCCCTCAGCACATAAATTCCCAGAAAACATTGCACATAAGAGCTCAGAAAACAAGAAGAAGTACTTTGATGATGCTTTTGGAAAGTTCACTGACAAGTTCCTATTACAGAAAGTAGATGTCAATGACTGTGACGATGAAGATGATTATATAAGAAATTATGCCCTTTGTTGTATTTTCCTGGCTACTCTTGTCATGCAGATGAAGGACACTGCAGGGGAGGGAGATGGCAACAGAAATCTCATCAACCAAAAACTTTTGCTGTCAGTTTTCAAGTCTATGGGGGCTTACAGCAAATATGCTATTGAAATGTTTGTGAGTATAGCTCAGATTGAGTGCCTGCTAACCCCACGCTTATCTGAACAGTTCAAATGGGGATTTTTTGTTAACTGGAGGGGTGGTGCCGGAAAGAATATTGAAGATGATTTGGCCCAAGAAATTTCAAATAGATGCAGTAAACACATTGTCCAAAGGCAGGGACCAAACAAGAGTCTAAACTCAATTAGCAAGGTCTGTAAAGCAACTACTGGCATCCATCAGATTGTAGAGCAGTTTGACTCATCTGTGGGCATCCATAAGACATCTGTGCAACATACAATGTGCAACTCACTTAATGATGAGAAAGAAATGGTGAATGACCTATTGCATTTGAATCCTTTTAATCATGTGCCTGGAAGAAGTCATGACAGCTTCCCTGACATTAAAAGGTCTCCCTTAAGGTATTTGAACATTGTTGACTATCATCAGTGGCTGGCCAAACACATGGGAGAATTATCAACCTAGATACTACTGAGGATGATTGTAGTTATTCACTGACTATTGAATCGCCAAATTCTGCACAATACAAGTAGTAATGACGTAACTGACCTCTCTTAGACCCTTATCTTTCAGTTAAGACTAGTGAGCCACTGAATTTCTGCTGAGATCGATATTTATGGGTTACTGACCAAGTGCAAGGTCGTGATGGCTGGGTATTAGCCACTTTCTTTTTTTGTCTTTTTTTTGCATGTTTATGGACTGAGATGGAGTAAAGCTCCATAAACAGATTTCCAGTATCCAGCCATCTTGAAAGAACAGGCTAGGTCAATTTTGGATTTATTACATGGGTTTTAAGGAAGTTTCGTGCAGGACACAGCAGTTAATCACAAGTGGGTTAGAAAGTGCCATCTTGCCTGCTCACCAAGCTAGTTCTATAATTATATCGTTGAATGAAATATATATACCGTAAGACACTGACTTTTAGTTAAAACAGCTGAATCTCTGAATTTAGCAAAATACAAGTAGTAATGCCTTACTTAACATCTCTGGGATCCTGAATTTTTATTAAAGACAAGTGAGCCATTAAATTTCAGCTGAGATGTTATGGCTTTTATGAGGATAGCCAATAACCTGAAAAAATAGCAATAACACTACTAGTACTGTGTAGTGTTGTGCTATTCATGGATCATAATCAAAAACTGATAAGACTTAAAGTGATGTGGCAGTTGATCATGCTTGATATATAATCAATTATTTTGGGAAACTGAAAAATTTATTGCAGTCAACTTAGAACAAATAAAACTAGGGTGTTTCCTTTCTCTAGGACCAACATAACAGCAGATTTAATCCATTAATATGTCCTATTAATTGTGTGAATTGTACCTTGTTTACTTGTAGCTTATGAGTTCAATATGGTAAACATTTAGCAAAATCTGCAAGTATCGTGGTAAATAAGAAATCTTATCTTAGTAAATAAGAAATTTATCTTGGTAAATAAGAAATTATTTTCGCTTTTACAATGTGACAAGGTCCTGTTTATAAGGAAAATATGTGGGGTACTTATCAGCAGACTCATCCAATTGTCATTGATGGCTGGTTGGTAAGGACAGTGTGTGTGCTTATTTCCAATGACCTACTACAAAATCTCAGCAGATTTCCAACATTAGTACATGTAATATGGGGTTCACAGATCCTTGTGAAGTTTGTGTACTAACAAACTTTAAAAGGTAAACAATCTGATCAGTACCATGGTAGCAACAGAGATAATTAATATCAAAAGTGACTTTTGGTGTGTGAATCAAGATCTATTTAGAGTTGCCCACAGTATTTACAATTTAAGTTGACTTTCTCACCACATTATTGTGCTCAGACATAGCAAAAAGGAAACAAAGGTAAACAAACTGATCGGTATTGTAGAAACAACAGATATAATCAATATCAATATTGATTTTGGTTTGAATCAAGATACCTTGTAGTAGTTTGCAGTCTTTATAATAAGTACTGATGTTCTAATCATCATCAGAGTTCATTACAGTTCTACACAGAGTAGTGTGCTTGCATATTAGCGAAAAGATCTGAGAGGAACAGATTTCATCCCAGATACCAAAGGTCTTCAATAGGTCTGTTTCTGATTCAATATACTCCACTCCCTCCATAACTTTTGTAACCAGATTGTTATCTACAGAAATGTCAAATAGCATGGAACTCTCTGATGCTGCTTGGGACTCTTGGGCAGAAATTGCACCCCTGATTAATCTTTCAAGGATAACACTGTTATTGTTGGGCAGTAATCTCACCTTGCTTTTAACAACATGAGGTACATCCTCCTCAGTTATTTTGAACTTTCCATCACATATACAGCAACAGTTATCTTGCTGAACACAAGAGAATCCAAAGTAATCTAGAAGAAGTTTCCTCTGACAGGTGTCTTGTGATTTGCAGTAAGTTTTCATTGATTCTTCTACATGTTTCATATTATTTCCAATATCAGAATTATTGTAGTAGAGTGTAGCACACGATGAAAGTCCTGTGCGACCGGCCCGACCAATTTCTTGCATGTATGCTTCAAGGCTACTTGGTGGTGTTATGTGAATAATGTTCAGCACATAAGGAGCATGAACCCCCATGCCAAGTGCTGATGTTGCAAAGAGCACCCTCACCCTCGAATTTTCTTTCTTTATTTCTGACAAAATATCTTTCTTCATGCGACTTGTTTGGGGGGCATGAAATTGAGCAAACAGTCTTGCAGTGGGTTCTGAAGTTTCTCCAACATACTGCTTGTCTCCCAATATTCTTTCAAATAATCCATAAGCATATCCACAATATTTCAATTTTAAGTAGACAATTGTCATGGGATAGTTTTCTCTTTGAATTGCTAGTTGATTGGCAATTGGCCCAAGGATTTGATCATAACTTTCATCCCCATGGTGGTTACTCCATCGCAATTTCTTATTCAGATATATGTTTACCCGGTTGGGGTTTTGTGCAACAATTTTGCACTCATCTTTTAAACACAGACTTCGCTTCAAGCCCCTCAATAAATGAGGTGGTGCTGTTGCTGTTAGAGCCATTGTGGGTACATTAGGAAAAAAGGCCTTCAACACCGAAAGATCTTTGAAGTCCTTTCTAAATTCTTCACCCCTGAAAAAGAAAAGTAAACCCTGTAATATATATATCTATATCTATAACGTTTTCTTTTGAGTTAACATGTTTCTGTAGAAGTATCTTTTGTATTTCATAATAGCTCCCTCATATGGATGGATGTCTATTAATAACTAAAAAGTATACTGTGTATACTGGTATATTTATTTTATCTTGAATTTATCTTTTAGCAAATGGCTTTATCTCCTTATTTACAGGTTATTTTAGGTTTGGGGGTCAACTTAATATAGAGCTTAGGTTCTTCCCTGTTGGCACCTTCTTTGTAATTGTTCAACTAAGAATAGTTCAGTTGTAGGGGCATGGAGACAAAGGTGAACATTCCACTTCTAAATCACAAAGCAATGCATCAAGAATTTGGAAAACTGCATGCCAGAATAAAACCATAGACAATTAATCTTGTTTCCTTGTACTGGCAAATAAATATAGATCAGTGAGCGGTGTAAACGTCACAGGAATCATAGATGAATTAGTTCCTAGAGAAAAATCTATCATACTCTATAAATAGAGAATACAGCAGAATTTCACCGTAAATACAAGTCAGTGCTGCAACCGTGCTTTAATTAGTTTTCCGAGACATAAGCTTATATAGATAATTTACTCTCTGAAACAAATATGAAATGAACAAACAAGAAATTAATAAATTTAGGCACTTACCATAATTCAACGCAGTGTGCTTCATCAACAACACAGGCCACAACATTGTCTTGAAAGACTTTGCTTCCCATCAATTCTCGCCCTTCCTTACTTAATAGAGTCTCTGGATGGGCGAATACGATCGAAGTGTTGCCGTTCACTACATCCTGAGGAAACTTTGTTGTGATCACGGCCACATGCTCGCTTGTTTCTTGTTCATTTCCGAACAAGTTCTCGGCCGTTTCTTTCGCGTTTACAGGTACCTGTAACACATCAGCGGTTATCCTCCGAGCTTTTAAAACTTTCAACTGGTCTTCAATGATGGAATTCAAAGGGCATACTACAATAACTATGTTCTTGGTTGTCTTGACAGGAAAGAAATTCGGTAGAAGGTGAAAAAGAATCGACTTGCCAAATCCAGTAGGTAGGACTCCGATAACATCCTGGCCTTTCAGCACATATTCAAAACACTTCATTTGAAGAGGTTTTAAATTCAATGATGGAAAATTACCTATATTCAAAGAAAATCCGACTCGGCGAAGGACTGACAAAAACTCTTCTGCACTCGGCGGGACCACCATCTTGAATATTTCTGTTAATATATGAATTCAGTACACCCAAGATTTTTGGGTGTTTTGAGATCATGTGACCGGCCGATCCCAGGGCCTTTTCCCGCCCCACCCCCAGCTCCACCCACCAACAAAGGGAAAAGACCCTGGGAACGAGGTTG